CATCTGTATTGCGTGCCAGCATACTGATGTTTTAACGTAAATATTGGTTTAAGCATTCATCAGGAAAGTGTTCATTTGTACAAATATCGTAGTTTTCGAAACTTTTCCTCAGCAAAATCCATCTGCCGAATACAACAATGTCCACAACTTCATCGAACCTCTGCCACCACCATCTTTTTAGATTTCGATCCCTGTTTTCGTACAAACAAACCTGCAACAACAGTTGCTAAAATTGCCACCAAACTGATCCCAAGGGTAAAACTGCAGTTCCTATTTGTCTGCATACCTATTTCCTGTCCAGTAGTCCCCCCTAATAAGAGCGAAAATCATCTGTAAAAAAAGGAGGAAAATTGGGCCAAGCGAAGCAAAAATCAACGGGGAGTGCTTTGAATTTCGCCTGACGGGAGCAGAATTTAGATTAAAGAGGAGTAAAACTATTCTTGAGGGTGAAATCGTGTAAGAAAGCGGATGTGTCGATATAGAGCCGAAAAAAAAAATCGGGAAACTGGCTAAATTTCGCATACGAGCTACCAGGATTGTATTACATTCACTTTTGGTGCAAGCTAAATAGGTCGCCAAATAGAAATCACAGTGCGAACTTACATTATCACCATCAGGCAGTTTCACGAGAATTGAAAATAATATGCAGTTGACGAGTTTGAGACGATTTTGATCGAGATACATTGTTCGAGATGAGATCGCTTCATCAGCCCTTTCGCTGTGAATTGAGTTGGGCACGAGCACCATCTGGTGGCGCCTTTCCACCAGTCCATTCAGCATATCTCTGGAAAGGCCATTTTCAGTACAAAATTTATTTTTTAGAGGTAAGGAACTGGTGAGCCAAATAACGGACGACCAGCTTGGTGATGATCTAGATCGTTATCTCAGAACATGGCGTTCTTTTCGTTTTATTTGTTAGAATTTCAATAGCTGGACGTTTCCTTATGCTAAAATAATTTATTTTTATGCGTTTTTTGCATCAATGCAATGCAGAAAACGCATACTGACGAGAGATTGTATGTGTTTCTGTGTGTGCGCTGTGCATCTTACTGTTTTTTCATCTCGAGACCTATAAAAGCTACAGGGCTGAAAGTTTCGGAATTTAACCTATATGCGTGTACGGGCACTTCTCCAGAATAGGCACTTTTACCCGCGTGG